GTATATACATTAGAGAAAAGCCTTTAAATAAAAATAAAGTTTCTACGTTGGCAATATAAAAAAAAAAAAAAAAAAAATTTTTTTATAAATGAATCCAGCATCTAAAAAATATATAATTATATAATTTTTTATATTACTTTATTAATTATTTAAATATGGGATATAGGCTTGGATGATTTTGAACAATCTTGAATATTGGACATTGGATATAGTATAAATGTGTCCTATATACAATACTGCTTATATCTTCTATTTTTATTATAAGCTATTGTGTTTTTACAAAAAATATATTTGGGTGTTTTTTTTGTACAAGTGATTATCAGAAAGTTTTTTTTGCTATATAATAAATATTACTATATAATTTAAATATTATATATATAGTACAATAAGTTTCTGATTTGTATTTTAATTTATAATATACTATAAATAAAGATATTATTTTTAATAACTTTTTTAAAATTTTAAATTAAAATATGATAACTCAACAACTATTTAATCAAATTTAATAATTTTAATTCTACAACTGTATAAAATTAAAATAAAAATTTTTTATTAAATTTGGTTTAGTAGTTGTTAAAATAGTTTAACTTAAAGTTAAGAAAACTTTTAGTTAAAAAAAAATTTTTTTCTATTGACTCTTCTATATATATAAAAAATTAAATTTTAAATCTCTCTAAATACAACCTTTACTAAATACAATACCTTTATAAATGCAACCTCCTCAAGCTCTAGCCCAAGTATATTTCTGATCCTTATAAATACAATTTTTCCTATTGTCTTTAAATACATGCTATTTTAAAAGCTAAAAAAAATTGGGTTAATAAAGTCAATGTTTTTTAATTTTGCCTCATTTTTGTTCTAACTTTGTTCCAAACTATACAACATTAGTTTGTTTGTTATTGTATATTTAAGAATGCACTGCTATATAATTGGACATAATCTTTAAATCCAAATCTACAAATAGAACGTAATTAGAAGAGGTTAGACTATTAACTCAGTCACATGAAGTTTACAAAGTTGCACGAAATACTAAATGATGTAATGGTCACGTACTACGTACTGTACATATGTAAATACTGTAAAAACCACGAGAGACAACTTTATCTTACATAAATTACCCACTACATAATATGCGAAGTACGCGTTATTTTGATTTATTGTGAAATTAAGTATGCTATGTTTGAAGGAATCGATTTTTGAAATAATGCTCATAATCGTACGTACGTAAGTACACACGCATCAGGTATAGTTCTTTCGTACAACGTATTGTCCAAAAATTTCATCATTCTCATTTTATAACAATAGTGAAGATTTTTATTTTTTTATTTTTTTACTTACGACCCCTCGTAATTAAGGAGACTCGTTAAAGTTAAGTTTGCTTTGAATGTTTCTTGAATTATATATTACGATTGCTCATTCCAATTTTAACCAAAATTCTATCAAAATGCTTTATAAATTTATAAATTTAACTAATTATCGATCTGAATCGTGTTCTCCTTCAATACCCTGAAGCCATCCGGTGACTATAGCACTCTGCGCCGGAGGGCCGCTAATTCGGATAGAGGAAGAAGTGACTAAGGGTGTGCCATTAATCCGATTTGAAGATGTCATATAATGTCGCCCATTAATCCGGTTTGTGGAATGCCCTAAAGTCGACTGTCTATTTACACTCACCCATTTTGCGGTTGAACTAGTTAATGATACATAGTTCCGCGTATTGTTTGAGGAGACAGAATGCTGGGGTGAACGAGAGTGAGGCACGGAGTCTATATATTTTGATGAGATATACGTGTTACCGACCGTAATGTTATTAGGCTGTGGTGATGGAATTGATAGTGGCTTTGTTCGCGTACACAACTGCATGGTAACGAAATCATCTTCAATTTCATCTTTATTCAACTTCGTTTCATTTTGCTTATGTATATTCAAATAATTCGATAGTTAAGAATATGACAAGCCATTTTTCACTTAATATATAATCAAAAAATTTTTGTTTAAAGCTTGATGAATAAAAGGATATTTAAAACAAAAATACGATGCTGACTATTTTCAACACTTGTTAATGCCGGTTGAGTTTGACCATCTCTCACAACCAAATCAATCATATGATCCCTAGGGTCTGTAGTTATTTAAGTTATACTAAGTTTAATAAAAATAGTTGAGTAAAGATAAAGATGTAATGATAACAGTACCTTTTTTATCAAGGTCCTTATGTTCCTTTATTAATTTATATTTCCTGACTTCTATATCATGTAAAATAGCTTCTCTTGCAATGCGTCTTTCATGCTGAATATAACGTTTACGTATACATAAATAAAAATAATTCATGAAAATTAATTGAAATAAATTTACTTCATTTACCAAAGCTACGTGACGTATTTGCGAAACTTGTGATTCATACAAATTTTGACTTTGTTGAATCTCTAGTAAACGATTGTTTTCAAGAAGCTGCTGCATTTTTTGATGCTCTTCATCCAATCTCCCTATGGTTTCCACATATGCTGGATGTGTCTTCTCGATTAACGATAGGTATTCATCTTCAAGTTCCTTCTTTTTATAAGCCAAAACACTATAAAATGAGCCAGTGGAAGAACGATCAATTCAGAACAGTAAAAAACAACAATCGAAAGAAAAAGAGAAAATGGTAAATACCTAGCCTTGATATTAATAAATTCACAAACCTTTTCTCGGGCACGTTTTTCTATAGCCCGGTATGCGCGCTTTTTTGCCAAATCATCTTCATCGTCTGATGGGTGACTAGAGTAATCTATCTCGATGGTCTTTCCTATATAGAAGTATAAATAATGCGTAGGACAAAG